ACACACACACACATTGTTTTTAAAATCACAAAGGAAAGCTGAAGTGTTTCTGGGACATGATAACTTGACGGACAAGCTGCGGAAGTGACAGAAAGCAAAACATGCAAAGGATTACACTGAGATTCGAAACAGACAGTGAAATGCAGGTGATGTGTGTCTATTTGATTCATGTTTGCTACTGTTAGCTTGTGATGTTTGCAGCTGTTTCATCACATCATTATCTCCCAAAAACACTTCCATTTTCTTTCATAATTTTTTTCTTTTGGCTTTTGCAGCATTTTTCTATTTACTTATTTTTTTCCTAAGTAGTGCATTTGACCTCTCAGGGCCACCGTAGCTATACTGCTTCATCCAAAACTGGATAAAAAAGATAAAAGCTGAGGTTGGTGATTTCGTCATTTATTTTTCTTCCAACTTTTCAATTAGTGGCATCCAATTGGATAACAGTTGACAACACTTGAAAGCAGAAGTAATTTTTGACAATCAGAGTGAATCTGCAGTGTCTTCATTAGTTGGGATAATGCACGTTTCCAATCTGCACATTAACCACGTGAAAGTCATACTGCCTGTCTGGGACCGTCTAGACATGTCCACACACACACACACACAAAGCACTAATCACACAGTTGTTTCAGGCACATGCTCTCAGACATACTGAACAAATGACAGATACACAATGCATGTTGTTATACTTTCACAGACTGCTGGATTCATCATAAAAACAATACCTTCACATATTCAGGTACACATACACAAACAATTCCCCAGCATGACAAGGTGGCTCAAAAGGAGAAAGAAGTGAAACAAGAGAAAAACATTTGTTTTTTTCTGTTACTGGTCTGAAACAGCAATTGTGTCCATATGAAACAGGCACAGTGACGCAGCATCTTTGCAGCAGCACCCAAAAGCATATGCGGTGGAGACAGAGAGGAAGAGACAGAGGCTGAGATGACAACACAAAGAGAAAGGGGGAGAGATTGAGAAGCTCACCTGGCTAGATGAAATGTTGTTCGAGGCTCACAAGAAAGGATAACATCCGAGACCTGAAAGGATGAGGGAGGATAAGGGGAAAGAACAGTAGTGGGGGGAGAAAAAGAGGGAGGAAGGGAGAGAGGGAGGAGGGAGATTAGATTAGGCTGCCAGTACTTTGGGTGTGCAGTGAGCACACACACACATCACACACACACACACACACACACACACACACACACACAACACACACAACACCAACCACACCCACAACACGGTAGCACACACACACACACACACAACACATCACAGCATCTAGGGCCAAATGAAAGGAAAGGGGAGAAGTATAGGTGAGAAAATTGCTGAGCCTGCACAGGAGTGAAAGAGATGAAAAGACAGTAAAAAAAAACGAAGGCCCCATCAGGGTGTGTGTGCCTGTTGATGCCACATCTGCAGCCACAAAGACTAGCAGCTATGTCTGCCTCCCTGTTTTCTACTTCTTAAAGATACACACAACCTGCAGTTCCATTTGCAGACACACAAAAATTAGCTTTAGTCTGACATGCACAGTCCAAACATACCAGAACACCAGGACATTACAGGCTACTGTGGGTATCTTCGGAAAAGATACCCACAGTAATTAGTAACTAATTACTATTTTCAAGTAACTTGACCAAAACTTCTAGTAGAAATACACTATGTTGTCAGAAATATGAAGAATGGGTCGCTCTCAGCTCAGTGAATTTCAACATCAAAACGTGATAGCAAGCCACCTGTGCAACAAGTGCAGTTGTGAAATTTCCTTGGTACTAAATATTCCACGGTCAATTGTTAGTGGTATTATAATAAACTGGAAGCAATCGGGAACAAAACCTCAGCCACAGAGTGGTAGGCCATGTAAGAGATCGACAACTTTCTACATCGAGTCCATCGCTAAAGACCTCCAAACTTCTTGAGATAATCTGAAGACTATATGAACAATGTGTAGAGAGCCATGGAATGAGTTTCCATGGCTGAGCAGCTACAATCAAGCCTTACATCGCCAAGTGCAATGCAAAGCGTTGGATGCAGTGGCGTAAAGCACCCCACCACTGGCCTCTAGAGCAGTGCAGATGGAGATCACACTTCCCATCTGGCAATCTGATAGACAAGTCTGTGTTTGGCAGTGCCAAGACAATGATATGTGTCTGACTCCATTGTTTATGTGTAAAGTTTGGTGGTGGGGGATTATGGTGTGGGGTTGTTCTTCAGGATTTAAGCTCGGCCCCTTAGTTCCAGTGAAGGTAACTCTTAATATTTCAGCATACCACGATATTTTCGACAATTTCATGTCTCCAACTTTGTGAGAAGAGTTTGGGGATGGGCTCTTCTCGTTCCAATATGACTGCACACCAGAGCACAAAGCAAGGTCAATAAAGACATCAATGAGCAAGTTTGGTGTGGAAGAAATTGACTGCCCTGCACAGAGTACTGACCTCAACCCCACAAAACACCAAACCATAAATGTGTTTTAGGAAGAATGGGCAAAAATTCCCATAAACAAAATCCTACACCTTGTGGAAAACCTCCCCAGAAGAGTTGAAGCCGTTATAGTTGCAAAGGGTGGGTCATCATCATATTAAACCCTGTAGATTAAGAATGGAATGTCATTTAAATTCCTATGTGTGTGAAGGCAGACAAGCGAATACTTTTTGAAATATAGTGTTTCAAATATTCTATCCCTTTTGATGAATTTTCTTTACAAATTGCTTCATTCTCATTAGTGATCTGGAAATAAGGTGTCAGAAGTCATTCATTTTATTTATTTTATAAAGTACTCTTGCAAACCATTTCCTTTCCTTGTCTTATCTTATTGCTGGAGCCCTACACGCTTAAATGATTATCAGCTATGATGCAGCTAAGTGAAATCTATTTTTAAGGTCAAATCATCACAGTTTCTGTGGTAAAAAGCATGTAAAATTATCGAAGAACATACATTTTTACAAACCCAGTCTCAAAATCACCTGACACCTAACTACCTGACATAATGAAGAGCAACATTAATGCCAGGAAGCAGTGGTGACAAGCTGTTAAGCAAAGATACTAAAAATCCGATCTTCTTGTGACCAAAATAAAGAATATGTATGGTAGAAGTATAATACTGCTGTACATTTGGAAAAACCATCAAACAGCTTTTTCCTTTCCACTTTAAACCCGCTTGCCATCCCTTAAAAGATGAGTATTTGGCTTAAAGCGCTGACTAAGAGTCTAATTGGAAAATAATGACTCAGCAACAGCGCTACCAAAGTCCCTTCATTGAATTCATCACGCTCCTGTTAACAGTCAGGGCAGTGAGCTGTAGAGAAAAAACTCATCTTAAAAACTTGCATTCTCATTCATCACGTCATTACATTAATTTCAGCCATTATATAATACTGCAAAGAAGCATCTCCAGAAACTCTATAATGTAAAGAAATGCTGTTTATGAATTCCCTGCTGCAGACTGTTCACAGGTTATCACGAATAACTTTGTACTGTCAGACATAGATTACACATCACTGATTCCTTCACTTCTGGAGTATTAAATCCATGTCCAGAAAAATAAAAAAGGGATCTTACTACCCACCCCCATACCTGAACTGGACCATCTCCAGACATCTGCTGTGCCACGATATTCTGCCCATGAATGGAACACAACTGGAAAAAGGTTCAAAAGCTCCTGATTAACGTACGACAGTAAAAAGATGGCAGTGTTTATACTCTTGCCGCTGAATGGGCCGAAAGGGAGAATAGCTTTCAGGAGAAAGACCTTCATCAGAAGGATTCAGATATTTCTTAGAAAATTCCTTAGAAAATGCAGCTTTTGCACAAAACATATCCAGGAGTTCTTTGTCTATCCTGAATGAATTTCCAAATAATCCTTTCTGTCATCGTTGTATTTTTACTCAGTTGTATATAGTATTTGTATTTGTATTCTATTTTTATCTTATTGTATATTTATTTTATTTTATTCTACTGTATATAGTATTTTATTTTATTCTATTCTGTACAGTTGTGTACTGTATTTATTCTTATTGTATTCTAATTTTTGCCTCATAACTTTTGCTCTGTCCACTTCCTGCTGTGACAAAACAAATTTCCCACGTGTGGGACTAATAAAGGTTATCTTATCTTAAATATGGCTAAGAGAGGGAAAAAACTATTCTACTCCCACATTTGGAGAATTCATATCCTTACTCCTAAAGTTTCAATCTAGTGTAGTCTTCCTTTCAACACCTTTTGGCATAAGCTCCCCTAAACAAGCTAAAGGTGCGATTCTATAACCATCTGCTTTGGCTCATGAGTCACTTGATACCTCAAACATAGAGGTGATGTTCAATGTAATATCCAAAAAAAATTTGACTATGTTATTCATATCACAACAAAAAACAACCAGACAACAAAATATAAACAATACATGAAAATCAGCATTGCAGCAGATTTCAGTCAAAGATTTAATCTACTGATTCATTTCCTTTTAGCTAATAGATTGTTTTTCAGAATTTAAAAAAAATGTTTATATTTATCTCCCTCTTTTATGGAGATTATTTAATTACACCAATTCCAAAACTTACACCAATGACCCCCCCCTTTTTTTTTTTTTTTTTTTTTTACTGTGCCCTAAAATACAGTTACGTTCCTCTCTCTCACTCTCAGACTCAGAGACACACACATACATATGGTACATCAGTCCCTTAACTAATTAAAAGAGAATTCTCTGATGTTGTGCTTTTGCAATTGCAAATAATTCTTACCCCAGTGGCTGTAGAGCAACCATAAAGCTGCACCCACAGCAACAACTACGTGCTCTGGTATGTCCACTGAGGATCACTCAACTTTTGCAAAAACAAAGCTCCATGTCATTTGAATTTTATAATGTGTAGGTCAGTGTAATATTAGCAATTATGGAAGAAAATATGTGACTTTGCTATACTTCAAAAGTTTAAAAAAATCTTTTCAGCATTAAAGATGAGTCTGGACTTCTTCATTTGTTTCCTTGCTGGTAGCTGTAGTTGCATTTGTATATGTGTGTGAGTATATTTCTGTGTTTACACAACGTTATTTTGTTACAATATACCATCTACTTGCCCACTTTGGCTGAAGTGGCTACGACATTTTTCGACATTAAGAGGCTGAGAAGAAATGTCACAGTTGTGTGCGTTAAATATAAGGCATTTCAATAGTTAGTGTAAATATCTGTGACCATTAAAAAAATATTATTTACTGATTTGCCAAATCTGAAAGATGACTTTCAGACTGAAAGATGACTTTCAGACTGAAAGATGACTTTCAGACTGAAAGATGACTTTCAGACTGAAAGACGTGCCCAAGGACAACAGCTCAACATAAAGAGGAAGATGGAGGTTTGAGAGACAACAAAAAGATGGAGATAGGCAGGGTTTTTTTTATAGCTAATCTCCCTTTTTTAATCAAAATTATGAATGTGTTAAAGCTGTCACGAAAACAGCTATGGCATGCCATTCTTAGTTATTCACTTGTACTTATAATGCTAACTTCTCAAATCCCTGTCATGCAGTAGGCGTGTCAGTCAAACCCGTCAGCCAGCATTTATTCAGTGTCTGCGCTTGTTTCACAGCTTTATCCAACTAATGCCAGTCTGCATCTGGTCACAAATGAAAGCTTAACAGACAACTTCTCATGAACACAACAGTCCCTTCCATTATCACAGTCTCTGACTGAATTTCCATCATCATTTAAAACGCCCTGTAATCAGTCACAAGCAATAAGACTTAAATCGCTTCACGTTTTACCTTCAGTAGGAAATGGCTCCAACAAGCGTTCAAATTGTATTATTTCCCAAAGCAACACTTACAAATAAACCGTATGTAAAAGCATCATAACTGAATGTTGTGAAGCTGTATGACCTGCAAGACATCCAACTTCAGCATTTATTGGTGCCTTTTCTCTGTACCTTGGTTCAAGTTCCAGGTCAAAACCACAGTTTTATCAATTAAAAAACAAAGAAATGCACTGCAGGCTTCACCTGTAAGCTTCCTTTAAATGCTCCACTCTAAAGCAGACATTGTGTTTGTGT